TAAACTGGGGCTTTGCAACAATCAAACAACAGGGCTTTACATTGCAAAACACAGGGAGTTGACCAGCAGAAAGGCTGGAACCACGTGGTTGCCATGAGAATTTTTTCATCACCATGAGCCGATGCCTCGGGAGCCTCGGGGTTTTTTCCTCCGAAAATGATGGGACTATGAAATGGGACGATCCCATTTATCCATTTCATCCATTTCCCTTCAAAGAAAAGTGGTGGGTAATGGTGATCATGTTCCCTTGATGATTGGTGATATTCCTGGGTCCGATTTCATGATCATTGTCCCTTGATTTTCATCAAAACGTGGTGTCAAACTTCATGGGAACATCCTCAGATCATGGACGATGAGAATTTGTTTGAGAAGATCGATGCGCTCTTCGAGGCAGAAGTGGCACACTGGGATACCCCCGCAGAAATCCTGATGTTCTTCATCTTGTGGGGTATGGTCTAGTCATTGCTGCCCAAAGCATGTTTGTTGTATACTGTGCAATCCCACAATAACGACACAAGGGTCAATCTGAGTTTGTTTAAACATAGAGTACCCCAAAACTTGTTTTTTAAATCATGGTTCATCAGCATTACCCTCTGGTAATGAGTAACAGTTTGCTATCGAAAATTGCCGTTTATGGTTGATTTACCTAGTAAATATGGTGATTATCCATAGTTATGCTAGGGTACCAGAGGGTAATCACAGTTTTGGGGCTCCATCCCCCATTTTCAGAGACACTCTCTACAGGAAGTCTGTCTGAAAGTAATGCCAGGTTGATATCCACATTCGTCATGGCCTGCAGGCTCGAAGGAGCCTTCCATTTTCAAAAAAAGTACCAGTCCAGTTGCTCTGAAACAATCCACGGCAAAAACGGCAAGTGATTCTTGATCTGAGCGATTCTGAGCATGTCACATCAAGTTTAACAATGATCCATCCTGGATGAAAATGAGGATCCTTTGACCTTTGGTAAGGCAAAATTGCAGAGCCCATAGACAACATGTCCTCCACAATGGAATTGGACTGCTACAGTAGCTGCTACAGTATGAATCAAAACATATCAAAACAACGACGCTTGGTCATTTGCCATGCAGTCATTTTCAAGTACAGATCAAGCATCCGTTGTTTTGCTTTATTGCCAATCAGCTTGCCATTTTGCTTCGCTGCTCCTCCAATGAGCGGCAGCGACGATGCTCTGCTGACGGCAGCGACGAAAAGCTGCACGTGCACTGGAAGCAACCAGAAAATCGAGGATCCAACCCTGTTGGTTGATTGTTGTATCATTCATTCATTCATTAATTGGGTTATTAATATCCAATTAATATTAGGAAATGGATGATTCCTAGAATGTTGGTTGGTTCATTGTTGGTTGATTGTTGTAGGAGGGTTGGTACTACCCAATATTCATTGGGGATCATCCAGGTCATCCATTCTGGGAATCCCCCCAAAAAAAACAGCAGTTGGGATGATTTTTTGAAACCCAACATTTCTGTTCTGATTTATTTCAGAATATATACCTAGGATCATTGGTCATGGGAAGCATCAAGAATGAAATCTAATGAATTTTTATATAGATTTATGAATTCAGTCTCACATATTTTATATTATTTTATTATGTTGGTCTCAACTCTACGCCTCCCTACATTCCAACATGAATCAAATAGTCTGCTCAAAGCTGTTGACCATCCAGATAAATCATCCACAGTGGCGTGGCGAGCTCTTGCACAAAATCATGAAGATGGTCCCCGTTGATGGTTTTATGTGCCCATTGCTATTAGTCAACCTGGGTATATACCAGGTAATTACCATGATCCATGGTGGTTTTTAAAAAGTCTATAATCCCATCGAATTTTTGAATGGGTGACAGAAACAAAAACACATAATTTATCATTTCATATAATTTCATCCATCCATTTCCTAGCCCCAAAATGGGGTCATCCATCCATTTTTGCTGGTAACACCGTCAGGGTGGAAATCTCCATTTCTGAGGCCCTTGAGCCAAACTTCCACGACTGCCAGCCGCAGTAAGAAGACGGTCTACTTGGCCGGGAAGCCCGGGAAGCCGAAAAGGAAAAGTTGGGGATTTCCATGGGTTTTTATGGTTTTTTTCCATGTTTTTTTCCAAGACCTGGGTGCACATATGTGAGCTACAGCCAAAATTTAAGCGTAATGGAAGTAGTATTCGAGACATCTTTATTTTTTGGAAATTGAGCTGGGGCTTGGAAAACGATAATACACTCTTCAAAAAAACGATATTCCCAAAACCTGAAAAACGATCATATACACTCTTCAAGAATTGATGACTTGGAGCTATATACTGTAAATATTGACCGTGGCCCATGTGGTGATTTTGAAGATATCGAGAAGATGTTCTTAAACCGTTGGATTTCGCTACGCAACCGTTGGATTCCTTTTTTTGGCTGCCCTGATCATGTTCTCATGGAATGTTTCGGGTCATGTTCCGTATACCATTTCTGGACAAAACATGACAAAACCACATCTCCAGAGCATTTTTTTTTTTGGTTGGCACTGTTTGAACTATTTTTCTACAGGAGGTTGGGAGACAAAGAGACAAAGATGATGATTTGACCGGTTGACACAGCTTGTGTCAACCAGCGAGAGATCTCCGGAAGAACAAAGGATGGGTATAGCCATAGAGATTGAGGGTATTACCACTCAAACGGAGGTTGATTGTGGCAAGCAACACACGGCAAGCATCACGTTGCTGACAAATACTCTTTGGCATGTTTTTTTAAAGGTGGATTTTCCATTGATAAATGGATGATATGGATTGATCCATTGGTTCTATGGAAAGTCATAAACAATCCATTGATAAATGTGTTTTTTTTTTCTCATGGGAAAATCATCGACGCATTTCTGGGTGAATTTCCGGCCGTGGAGCTGATGACACCCGGCTGATCAAGCCCTTTGAGATTTTTTGATGGTTACCACGGTGGGAATCATCCTGTATCTTATTAAGATCAGATGGTTACCACAGATTTTTGATACTTAATAAGATGATTCCGCAAAATATCTTGTATCTTATTAAGTCCAGAATCGAATCTCATCATATGATTGCGAAGTGTGAAGTGCTTTTGGACAGTACGCACATTTTCTGAAATATCTTATTCTAATTTGCCCAGACATCCCAGACATGAAGTTCCCATCCGTGTGGAAGACATTTCACTCATGGCAATCGACCAGGTCAGGCATGCGGAATCCATGGAAAATGACGCTTGGACATTCCACTGGCTGGGTTACGTTTGGCAGTGTGGATTCATAAAGCCTCACTGTAACAATGAGCAAAACCCAAAAAAAGGACATCCCCTATAAATGAGTAAATGGACCCTGAAAATCACCAATTTTTAGAGGAAACTAATCTTCCAACCCCGATGACTACCAGGGTCTATGTTAATTTGCTGGAGGGTATACATTGGGAAAATCATCTATCAATTACCATAAATGGTGGACTTACCGGAAGGTATAGAAAAAAAGTGATGAGTGAGAAGCCACTTCAAGAATTAGTGCCTCCACACTAATGAATCAGGCTTCATCCGCGCTATATCCGCTATTTATCCCAGGTTACTGAAACACGATTTGTGCGTAAATCGAATTCCGGCTGTATCAGGGTGAGTTACAAGTAGTGTTTTACATCCGACTCAAACCAATGATAGGCCATATAAATTCAATGACGAGTCATGTTTCGATCATCTTTGCAATGGTTGCATTTTTGCTGGTGATGTATGATGTATTGAAGCCAGGGCCACAAACCGGTAGATAGATACACATCCCATCAAATTACACAATGTTACAGTATTTTCTCATTTCTGAGGCTCTTCACCACGATGAAAGGGTGAAAGGATCCCCGCTTCTCGCCTGCTCGAACTTTCGCAGTTTGAGCACTATGAACAGCGTTGGAGCTATTTAAGGAAGTTGAAATAAGTCGAAATAAGTTGAAATAAGTTGAAATAAGTCGAAATAAGTTGAAATAAGTTGAAATAAGTTGAAATAAGTTGAAATAAGTTGAAATAAGTTGAAATAAGTTGAATAGAACTCAATTTGGGGTTTCCAGTCTTTAACATCTTGAAGTGATCACATTCGGATGTCATGGCCGAAAAAAACGCCCTGAGTTTTCTAACGGCAGTTCTGCCGGACTGCCACTCACGGTGAACTTAGGAACGCGTCCAAGCGTATGTTCGGCTGCAGGGTGGGATTTTCGTGGGATTTTCATGGGCAGTTCACCTGGGGATTTTTCGACCTCGCCACAGAGATGATTCCCATGATCCAAGGGGTTCAGATAGGACAGTGAATCCGTATCCAATCCATTCGTGTTTTTTTGTGTGGCAACTGGCTGGTACTGTCCACTTGGATAAGTTGAAGATTACTGTAAACTATCTGTAAACATCTGTAAACTATCATACAGGATGTAGATCTCGAATCGCTGAACTCACTGTTTTTTTGACTCATCTGAGAGAAATCCAGGTGTAGTATTAGACTCAAACTATTTTGGGTCACTTCTATGCTTACAATTTTTGGATTTATGTAGTGTCAGGGGGGGGGGTGAGATTCATACACTCCGGTCATCAAAGATGGCTGGGAAATCCACCAATGGAGGTTCTAAGTTCTAAGGGGAAAATCATCTAGTCTATATATACATAATATATATACTGTATATAATATAAATTAATATCATATAGGATTTTTCATTGCCACGTTTGATTACCAGAGTGTATTCCCATTAACATCCCCATTCTTCTTGGTGAAATCCATATAAATATATATAAATATATATATATATACACATTCATATATATATATATATTATTCACATATAATATATAATATAATATAATATAAATAGTATAATATAATGTAATATAATATAATATGATATAATATAATATAATATAATATAATATAATTAATATATATATATATATCACCATGAAATCATATGAAATCCATGAAGTCCCATATTAAATCATTGGGAAAACTATAGGTATCAATCAAGCGAACATGATATTTTTGCAGCAATTTAAGCTCTCTGAACAACACCATTGGTATACCATTGGCATCCCTAGTAGGCCCTAGAGTGCTCTTCACCCTATTTCATTCATCTTCAATCCATATTTCAAAGCCATGTTCCATCCTATTTTTCTTTCAAAATCTGCAGTCATCCACGAAAAAAAACATCCTTTTCAAAATCTCACAAATCTGGAAAAATCCTGGAAAATCCACTTTAAAAAATAAATCTTGAGGATTTTCATATGGATTTTCCAGGATTTTTCCAGGATTTTCCAGGATTTTTCCAGATTTCTGGCGGATTTTTGCCACATTTTGTCCATCTCTTTGCGCTCCAAACAGGCGCGCTGCGCCGCGGCGCGTGGCCCAAGAGTGGCGACGTCGTGGCCTCGTTGCAGCTGCTGAACTTCGATCTGGACACGTGGCGCGGCGAAGGATTACCCAACCTGGTTATGACGTTTACATAGCCATGGTATAGATGGCCCATTTATAGTGGATTTACCTATTAAAAATGATGATTTTCATTGATTTTCCATAGTTATGTTAGTTTACCAGAGGGTAATGTCAAGCCCGGATTAAGATTTACCATATCTAATTATTAATCATCAACATTATGTCTATCTTGATGGGATCAATGGGATAGTAATGTTGATGATTAATAGATCTGTGATAATGGAATGGGACATAGTAATGGGATATAACCTCTGGTTATGACTAACATAGCCATGGAAGATGGCCCGTTTATAGTGGATTTACCTATTATAAATGGTGGTTTTCCATGGCTATGTTAAATAACCAGATGGTAAACATGGATTCACCAGTTCTTTCTTTAAAAAAACAACTATAAAATGACTGTTTTTTTTGTTCAGCCATCAACTTTAATCAACGGTTTTTATACTGATACTCTCAAATATTTCTAGTTTTTGTTTCTTTAGTAACCAACCCAGTCATATTGAGGAGTGATGAAATATCAAGCCATCAACTACAGTTAATAGTGGTTTGAATATGTTTCAATTATAAACTATAATCAACTATAAATAGACTATATATAATTACACAATCAACTAGCTACAGGGACCATCAACTATAACTATAACTAATGTGTTTTCTTTTTAGCTATCAAATATTTTTAATCATGTTTTTTTCTAAATAATAACCAACCCATCAACTACAGGAGTTTGGAGGTGGTTTATATACTATAACATCAACCATATACAATCAATCATAGGTCTATAGGTATAATCTGGGAAACCCGATAATAAACAACCGCCATGTGGGATGTTACACCCACCATAAACATGGTGATTTCAATGTGATAACTTGGGGATGGTTTATGGTATAAAGGGTTTACCACATTAGATATCAATCCATCAACTATTTCTAGGGTGGTTATTACAGGGATTTTTTTAGGGGATTTATATAACCTATCATGATGTTTGTTTGGAGTTGTTCAGGGAGTTTTAACTATGAAAAATCAGAGCTACAACCATTAATATATTTTATGTTGGTGATTCCATGGAAAGAAACATTAAAAACAAACCCATGAATATCCCTTGTAAAAACCAAAGGATGGTATCCATTTTTTGCCTTGCTGACGCCGCCATGGCCTTGCTGTTTAGGCCACTCTCTCGACGTGGAGAAAGGCGCATCCGTTAGTTAAACATGTTTGGCTGTGTCCCCCAAAAACGGAGGTGTTAAAAAAATGTCGAAGTACATGGTGTATTTTCCGTTGCCCTGTTTGATTACCGGAGGGTATGGTGATTTGATGTGGTTTAAACCACATATGTGATTTGAGCAGCAAACACTTTTCAAACAGGGAGTGGTTTGCAACCAAAAAGGAAGATTTGAACAGCAGAATTTCACCGTAAGACCTGCAGAAAATTTTGGTGGGTCATGGGTGAGTGATTGGACGCAGAACAGAAACGAAGCCTGTGAAGAATTTGACGTCTCTGGATGTTCTCAGAGAAAAAACATAAAAACTCCACAGTTGATATCTGCACCGGAGGAGTTTAGCATGGCATTTACTTCATCTACTTGAATGTATTTAAGATATTTTTAAATTGTGGTTCCAAAAAACAAGACAAACGAGGCAGTGGAGACTAGTATACAGTAATGAAGTATATACTTTTGCGAGCTTTCTTTACTTGTAAATGACACTGTCGGACAGGACCAGTCAGAGCCCCATGCCTCGCCCCATGCCTCAGGCAACTGAAAGACGTCAGGGTGCGGCGCTGAGTTTCCAAACATGACTGGCAATCGGCTATCCGATAGTTTCAAATCGAACAGTTTCTGGCAAACAAACATGGCTGGAAACTCCATCTTGACCATCTTGCAGAGGAAAATTTCCTGGAAAATCATCCAAAACAATGGATGTACGTCGTAAATTCATGTAAATTCAGGATCCTTCATCGCCATGGCATGCATAGCTGGTGGAATATCCAACGATTTTCAGGATCTTTGGATCAAACTCATTGAACCTTCGCCCGTGGGCAAGCAGCATCTACAACTGTCTATACTGGTGATTTCGAAACATATTTCGAATTCCGAGGACAGCTTATTTTTCATTTCGTAGTACTTGGAGTGATGATGTGTAGAATGCCGGGCAAAAACTACATGTTTTGGCTTAAAACCACCAAGCAGTTTTCCTGGATCCGCAGCCAGGCGCAGATTGAGGCTGCCTCCTTCATTCAGCAGGCGCGCGGAGCAAAGAGTCCGAGTTCGACTTTCCAACACTGAAATCAGTCAGAGTGAACGGAGAATCGGGTGAGTTTCAGCTTTTATTTTTGATGATGTGTATATGTGTGTTGCCTAAAACATCTTGAAACTTCAGAGGTTTCAAGAGGTTTCAAGCACCAAACATGAGTAAAAAGACCACTACATCACTAGAGCCTGGCTGGTGTCCAGGTTCCTTAGCTCCAGTGTGGGTCGATCTCCAGCATCAGCTGACACAGCCAGTTATAGCCCTATTGTTCATTTGAATTAGTCTAACCTGGCTTATACCTGTTCGGAAACATGATAACCCACAAAAATCTTTGGGATTTCCTAACAGTCATTGGGGTACCCTCTTTAGGAGCTCTATACTGCAGTATATATATACACATATTGTATAGATATGTATACTGCTTGTATTGGCTGTCCATGTCACTTATACAATGTATGTGTATATATATATAATAGTACCATTTATAAGTTGGTTTATAAACCTCATAAACTATAGTTATATCTCCCATAAATCATCATACAACATAAACCCTAGTTATACTAGTTATCAACCAACTTAACTAGCATAAATCAGCTATAAATCCCATGAAATCCCTTAGGATTTCTGGGTAAAATCACCACGAAAACACCCAAAAAATATGGCGCCAAGAACTGCCCAAGGCCTCCCTAGAGCTGCTGGCTGTGAGCCCGCTGCAACGTGCCAAGCGCACGGCCGAGATGCTTTTCGACAACGAGGAGCTGGGGAGCTGGGGATGGATGCTTTCGGAAAATCCTTGGGGAAACTCATGGGAAACCTGATGGGAAAATCTGAGGAAAATCTTGGGAAGCTGGTGATAGGAACATATAGGAACACTAAAAATATATTAGGGTAAAATGTTAAAAATTATATATAATGAGTATCCATATGGTTTATAACAATGGTTTAATATAGATAGTGTTTGAAATGGTAAAATTATGGGTAAAATTTATCCGATTTCTGGGTCTGAGATGGGATTATCATGGGGATGGATCATGGCTCCACATCTTTGGAATGAGAATTGGCGAGCACAGGCACCCGGGTGGATCCACAATGGTCATATATTAATATTGATATCCATTGTTCATATATCATTGTATATCCACATATCAAATCATAGGTGTTTTAAGGGTGGTTGATGATCCTTCCCAAGATCTTTCCCATACCCAATATACCCAACAAATACCATAATATACCCACACACATCTTGTAGTTTAAGTTCTTATCCCCATATGATCTCAAGATATCTCAAGACTTTTGCCGCACAGGTTCCGAGAGTCGAGGCTGGTGGGGTGGGCTTCCTTTCTGTGCACAATACCATGACAGAGCATAGGTTTTTTCTTGGCACCTCAGGGTTTAAATGTTCAGTTTGTCAACTGACTATGGCCCTGGCTGACATATTTGTTTACAACCTGCCTAGCCGTTTTTGCGGGTCTAATTTCCCGATTTGTTCAGCATTAAGTCAGACGTTTTTTTCGCGTCGAGCAACGCCACAACTGTTGATTATTTTCCCGAGGGCGCGAGGGCGCTGTTCGGGTTCTTGCAATTCAGAAGCAGGTGCAGATACATTGAGTTGAAACATATTTTTGCGTGTCTGAAAATGGAGTATACCTCTACCAAAAAATAGAGAAACTGAGTATGATTTCAGACGTCTACCCAGATCTAATACAATAAGACATATTACACCTCACACATCACATAAAAAACACACTTCACGTCTACCCGTCTTGCATCTACTCATCTTAGATTCACACATCTTACACCTACACACTTCACATCATCTTGCATACCCCATTCCATGCACTCGTTAATCATCGTGGTCCCCACACCCAAATCATCAGACACGTAGCCCCAAAATATCGCCATTGAATCCCTGTGAACTTTCCATAACTTTATCGGTGACGTTACTCTGATTATTTTACATAGTCATGGAACATGGTCAATTTATGCACAGGCGATTTATGATGATTTTCGGTTCACCATGGCGATTTTTCCATAGCTACGTGAAAAAAAACCAGAGGCTTAAAATCTCCAGATTTCCATGTGTGATCCTATTTTCATGGCTTAAATCCCATAGATGTCATCCCAATCTTCGGGTGTCACCCGGCCAGGTCATGCCTTGCCTGGTGGAACGCTCGCCCTTAGAGGCGCTGGCGTGCACTGGGCGCTTTGAGGATCGCGTCAATGGCTTCAAGGCGTTGGGGATATCTGGGGAAGATTATGGTATGAAGGGATGATCATGATGTTTAAATGATCATATGGGGGTTTCCAAAAATGGGGCTACCCAAAAATGAATGGTTTGTGAGGGAAATTCCTATTAAAATGGATGATTTGGGGGTATTCTATATATATAAATGATCATACATGTTCCATTGAGGGATGAAGATCATAAATAATGATCATATATATATACATACATATGTAACATCCTATATATGTAGGATAATGATATTATATATGGGAACATACATGATCATGATGATCCTCCTATCATATCAGAAATATCATATAATGATGTTCATGAGAGCTTCATGATGATCATGACCCGCTTTTTCTGATACTATTTTACTATGAAGTGTATTAAGTGCAGACAAGAAAAGAAACTGTGAAATATCTGAAATCTCAAAAAACCTGCGCCCACAACAAGCCCACCTCGGGAATAATGGGTTGTTTTGGGGGGGTGGGGGGGGGTTCGGGGGGGGTGTAATAACGTTCTTTCGTCTGCGTGTCAAAGACGTTGCAACATTGCTACGTTGCAACATCTTCTTCAAGTAACTTCCAAGACGCTCTTCATACGTTGTAACATCTTCAAGTAACTTCCAAGACGCTCTTGATACGTTGTAACATCTTATTCATTGACCGAACCTGGGATCATATGAAGTCAGACATCCCACGTAGCCACAGTCTTTCTTCCAGAAAATTGAATGCACACGGAACAACAGCTGCGCTGATGAGACATTGCCTAATATGGCAATGGTTCCATGAAGTCTCGGCTCCTGGCTACCCCCTATGGGATCAGTTGGCCAAGCTTTGTACAAAACACAACAAAGTTGGACTGTGGCATCTCGCATGACGATGAAAAAAGGCTGTCGAATCATCACTTTGAAAAGCGCTGAAAGCGCCGCACCTCCATAGGCGCCGTAACCATGTTTTATTGTTTTTTTTTAACATTATATATGTTTATAATATCGATGTTTGAACCCATATCCCATGATTCACGGATGAACATCCATCCACACACTCGAGAGTCGGGCGAAGGACTGGCTGGGCAACATCCCGCAGACTCGTGTGGTCGTGGCACCTCGGTGACAAAGCATGAGTTTCTCCATGAACAAATGGCCAATGTTGGATGATGTTGGATGATGGCCTTGGGGGTTCCCTCATCAGTTTATTCTTCAGACATTAAAAATGACATTTCTACAACAACCTGATTTTTTTGGAAGTTCTCACTGTTCTCACATTTGTTGTAACCGATTCCAACATTCATCGGTTAGGCTCTGGGGAGACGGAGGGATCATTTCCCCTGGGCATCCTGGGGCAACTTGCCCAAAGGACACCCTCGTGGGCCCAGCCTGTGACCGTCAGGTTGCTCATTGTCAGTTTTTTTCCAAACTCCTCGGCAAAGGTACGGCCGGTAGCTGGGACGGTCGGGTGAGAAGACTTGGCAACAGTAGGTTTTGGAAGGTTGCAAGTTCTTTCCTGTTTTTAATGTCTTTCGCCAATTAACATTAAGAAACACATTTTCAGGGAAATATATATATATATACTGTCCAGGGGTATGGTTTTTAATTTAATGTCCACTAAATAATACAATGTAAATGAGGTATTATGGTGCATGTTCACAATAGCTTTGCCCCTGTGAGCCATAGCAACTCCATGGAAGGTGGCATTAGGGGGAAATCCCCTATTTAGTTCGATGATTTTCCAGCTATAACATCTTTGAACCTACATGGCTAGTTCAGGGATTGCCCATTGAGCGTGTATTCCTATGATTTTCACAAAAAAAAAACATAAATTCTCTGCATTACTACCCATTTCTGTAGATTCTATAGTATGATTTTCATTGATTGTCCCCACATTTTGCCTCCATTTCTCATGGAGGTTCCTAGGAACAGCCGGCTAGAGACTGCTCCGGAATCCGGGCACAGCCTGCGGAGGCTGTGGCTGGGACCGCTACTTGAGCAACGCGGAAGTGAAACGCTGCAGTTTTGACCCCGAGATGGGCGTGACTCGGTTGTGTTGGATGTGCGGCCTATATACATTACATATATAATCATATATATATACACGTAGAATTAGTGTAAACATATTTTACTATTAATATATATATTATATATATATATATATTATATTAAATGGATTATATATAGAGCACATCTATATAATTGGGTACCTTCCAGATCCATCTGGATGATTTCATATGTGGTTTTTTCCCACAAACAATCCCACTTATTGCCAAGTGTTCGGAGTGTTTTCCGGGGGAAGAGCAGGTGGCTACCATCCCAAGGATTTGAACGGTAAACCATGTTGGATTCTGCCAGATGGGAACAATTCCCCTGGAAATCTCAGGTGTTTGAGGACTTGGAGGTGCTTTTCCAACCTGACGAGGGTAGTAGTGATGAGCAGTGACAGATCGGTACCGCTGGCGCAGCTTGTTCCCTGGCGCAAGGACGCAGTAGCTGGGACTTGCTGTGCTTTGCTTAGAGGTCTCACCGCTGGGATCTACAGATCAGCTTCGCATCATGGCTTTCTCAAGTGAAGCATATAGTTTCGGGATGTTTCGGGGATCAAGTGAAGACAACCAAATTCAGGGACAAAGCCTAGTTTGAGTCAGAAGTTGGTTTTGAACATCATTCTGCAAAGAAAGGAGTGACCTCATCGTGTTTCTCTTTCGGTCCGCAGCTGATCGGACGTGGGTCCGCCTGAATTTGATTGGTTTTTGGCTGCATTTCTGGTGCGTGGGGCTTCAACTTTACCCGGGATCCCTAGGATTATTTGGGCCAATCTGTGCGTTTTTTTTTTTTCGGTGGGGTCCATTAAGAACGCCCAAGTTTCTTGATGGCGAAGCCACCAGCGCCTGGCTAATCCTCCAGCCTCCAGGCTCTGAATTTCAGGGCTTGAGTAGGCAGCGCAGATAGGGCGAATAGTGGACAAGAAGAGAAGGATTTCTTCCGGGGAATGTGTCTAATCAAGCACTCTCTTGGATATTTGAGCATTTCTGTGATTCTGAGAACACGTTGTTCAAGCGTTTCTAGGTATGGTTGTTGACCTCGTGTTGGATATGGCAGCTTATCAATCGTTATGACTTCTATTTTCTGGCCTAAGACCCTGGCCATTCTTCACTATCGACACTGACCCTAGGTGCATCCGTTTGCGGGTCATTGAAAATTGAAACTATGAAAAATTACTTTACTTCGTGTGATCCCCACCATGACATTTATACATTTTCTTACTGGCAAATCTTCTGGCATTCTATCTGACATATCTTCTGACATTCTATCTGGCATTCTATCTGGCATATCTTCTGGCATATGATCTGGCATATCTTCTGGCATTCTATCTGGCATATCTTCTGGCATTCTATCTGGCATATCTTCTGGCACTCTATCTGACATATCTTCTGGCATTCTATCTGGCATATCTTCTGGCATTTATTCTGACATATCTTCTGGCATTCTATCTGACATATCTTCTGGCATATATTCTGACATATCTTCTGGCATATCTTCTGGCATATCTTCTGGCATATCTTCTGACATATCTATCTGGCATATCTTCTGGCATATTTTCTGGCATTCTATCTGGCAATTCTTCTGGCATTCTATCTGGCATTCTATCTGGCATATCTTCTGGCATATTATCTGGCATTCTATCTGGCATATCTTCTGGCATATCTTCTGACATTCTTTCTGACATTCTTGCTAACTTTCTTCTGCACATTCTTTGTCCCATATCTTCCTACATGAGGTCCGGCAGGGAACACTTGGCGTGGATACTCGCGGTTGAGGTCCGGCAGGGAACACTGGGCGTGGATGGTCGTGGTTGAGGTCCGGCAGGGAACACTGGGCGAGGATGGTCGTGGTTGAGGTCCGGCAGGGAACACTGGGCGAGGATGGTCGTGGTTGAGGTCCGGCAGGGAACATTGGGCGTGGATGGTCGTGGTTGAGGTCCGGCAGGGAACACTGGGCGTGGATGGTCGTGGTTGAGGTCCGGCAGGGCACACTGACATGGATGGTCGTGGTTGAGGTCCGGCAGGGCACACTGACATGGATCGCAGTGGAGCAGGAGGAGGACGAGGAGGACGAGGAGGACGACGAGGAGGACGACGAGGAGGAGGAGAGGAGATGAGGAGAGGAGGAGCAGGCAACTGACATAAAATCTAACAACCCTCACCTGGCAGGTGGGGAACTATGAAAAACTTAAGACCTTGGCTTGTCTTTTCCACTGGAAATTCGAGTGCCCGAGATTATGCATCTGAATGGCTGCGTACTTGCGCAACATTTGTTCTTTTCCATTAGTTGTGCCCAACTGCATTGAATGATCCCGAAATCTCGACGCATACATACCCTAATTTCGAATCCTAAAGCGGATTAATAGATAGACGAAAGAAAAAGCAAAAATGGGAACACCATCTATAATATAATATAATATAATAAAGGTGGGATTTTCCATTGTCATGTTTGAGTTTTAATCCCCCCTATTGATGAACCATGATTAATTAACCAGTATCACTATTTCCCTCACTTTCCCGATAATCGTCCAAGTGGAGAATTTTCGCCCTGCTTCATGGGGATACTAGCCATTGATACCCATCGTATGGGTTTATTATGGGAGATGATCACAGATTATCACAGTGCATCGGGAACTGCTACGAGTTTTCCCGTGTTTTTTGCGGGACGATGCCAGGCGATTGCTGGGGGCAAGAAGTCAGTGAACTCAGCAGCCAAACCCAAAGGGGCTGAACATGGCTCAACCACCAGATGTTTATTTTTCTCCATGTCTGGTTGGTGGTTTCAAAGATTTTTTATTTTCCATGATATATATTGATATATGGGATAATCCTTCCCATTGACGAACTCATATTTTTCAGAGGGTAGGTCAACCACCAAGCAGCTAAAAAGGTTGAATCCCCATAGAATCCCTATAGAATCCTTATAGAATCCCTATAGAATTCCTATAGAATCCCAATAGAATCCCCATAGGTCAACCAGGTCAACCACCAAGCAGATCTTGTTTTCTGTCATTGTGTTTGGCCCATATGACGAGCAAAGAAAACATTTCTGTCGATTTTTTTTCTCTAGATCCAATCACACCGAAAAACATTCCCCATTGACTTTCTCTGCTTGGTGGTTTGGAACATGACTGGATTATGACTTTCCATATACAGTAGTGGGAATCATCATCCCAACTGTTACTCACTCACTCCATCAGACCATCATTTTTCAGAGGGGTAGGTATACCACCAACCAGCTTAAAAGGTTGAATCCCCATAGAATCCCCATAGAATCCCCATAGGTCAACCAGGTCAACCAGGTCAACGACCAAGCAGATTTCAAGCGTCTCGCTGGGGTCCGAGGCGCTTCACATACACTGACTTTGAGAAGTACTTTCGTAAGGCCGGCAGATTTCTCCATGTGAATGGAAGAAAAATGATGCTAGGGATTATATATATATAGAATTATAATGAATTATATAGACTTTAAACAAAAAATACAATGATATCAAACATCAAAACGTATGAACATAGGTGTGCATGGGTCAAGATTTAGAATTTCGGAGAGGACCACAGATGTTGGTCAAGTTTATGGCTAGCCAGGCAAAATTTCGGACATAATTCGGACATCCGATTTGGGAGTTCGGGCAACTGACCTGAGAAAAGGATCGCAAAGATTTGAAATTCTTAGTATATATATATAATAACTATATATATATAATAACTATATATATATAATAACTATATATATATATATTGAACTTAACTACAATCCAAGAATATATTATATATATATACATTATATAAACAAGAGTTAACTGTTGGCAGGGGATCAGCAAACAACCAAGTCAATCCGTTGAAGGAGTGCCCATTAGATGTCCCATTCTGTCCCCATTAGATCCCATAATGTACCCAGTGAGAATCATGAACCAGTTATGTTCAGAATTAGATCCCATAGTCCTTCATAAGGGAACCATGATTCCCTTGAATAATAAACCAGGAACTATAACCATATAAAACCATAATTATACGTAGCCTCTGGTTATGACTAACATAGCCATGGAAAATGATGGCCCTAATCGAAATAGATGGTTTACTGAAGTTTACTGTAATTAGAAATGGTGGATCTTTCCATGGCTATGTTAGTCATAACCAGATGGTAATACATATATGATGGGGATTCAACCAACCCCCTCAAGTCTCCTCAAGTGACCCCCCCCAAATAAACAGATTTTCTTCCGGAGTCCGGAGCGAATCCTGACCGCTGGGGACACCGAACTGCGAGGGTGTTGAAACCCCCATCAGCTTAGCATGTTTTTGTAAAGCCTACAGTCAGGAATTCTCCCCCGCATGTACATGGATGACATCATATATCCAATAAAATTAGCCAATAACAATAAAAAAAAACCTTGGCTATCCTTGGCTAGTATGTTCCCATCAATCCCCACTTGCGAACCAATTACAACGTGGCTATGGTATGTTCTGCATAGGCGGTGGTTGCCGCGACCCCACGGCCGCCCAGCAACCAGAATCGCTCGGCCGGAACGCCCGGTGGGCGAATGGAACGAGGGATCTTGCAGAGTTTATATATCTGGAATATACATAATGTTTTTTTTATCTATTTTTTATCTGCAATGTATCTTAGTATCTTTAGACTTTCATACTTAGGTATCTTACTTGTTTTTGTTCAATATTGGAAATGTGATGAAGTGTTGGAGTTCAGGACTTAGGGTCTCAAGTTGGTAGCCGTGCCCACAGCCCCAAGCTCCAAAACTGGTGGATTTTTGGTCAACTCTGAGTGCTTTTGTGTATTTTTATGTACCCATATGTACCCTCTGGTTATTTATTTAACATAGCCATGGAAAATGATGACCCATAGAAATAGATGGTTTACCGAACTTAAAAATGGTGGATCTTTCCATGGCTATGTTAGTCATAACCAGAGGGTATCATTATCTATAAATAGTGGAAATTCAAGATCCATGTTTGATTAGCGCAGGGTATCATAGGCAGATAGAGGCATGTTAAATAACCAGAGGGTATTCTTCATGTTGATTTTGCTTTGGATCGCCATGTCCAACCTTCAAACATCCTTTCATGAAATGGTTCCACTGAAGTCCTGGTTCACTCCCAGTCCACTCGTGTCTTCATCATTGGCCCGGGCTTCGGAAACCAGCGACTTGGCGCCCACATTTCCGTGGCGGCTAAACATTTGGATTGTGTTTGGCTTGAAAACAGGGGGCGCTCTATTATCCTCTATTTCAACAACCCCGTATTAATACACTATTTCAACCAAGAGTAACTCAACGGCCAAACATCTCGTCTTGCCCGGGCCTGTTGGCCCGCATTCTTCGTATGAGCTGAAAACGTGGTAACAAGGAGATCTTTTAGCATTATGGCATGGTATGGTTAACTTGATGTTCTAGATCAGAACACACAACATAGGGACCTGTGCGGGTTCCTTCTACATCATCATCATCATCATCATCATCTACATCTACATCTACATCTACTTCCTTTGTTGATTTTCCCAA